CTCGGGGGAGGGTCCTGGCCCTGACCACACTCCCACACCCGCAGGTGGGCCTAAGTCCGGAGGCGGGGGCCACATCCAGCACCCCGGGGGGCGGGCCCAGGTGCTTCTGCGCCAAGGAGCCCAGGCAGGGCCAGCCACAGAAGAGGAAGTGGGCCCAGCCCTCTGACCTGTGGGACAAAGGTACGTGGCAGAAGCAGGGGGGGGTGGGGGGGGGAGAGTGGCCACAGCCCAACACCCGCCCCTTGGGGAACGGCATCCTCAAACTGACCCAGACTCTGAACCCAGTCCTTGAAGCTCTCCCAGAGCAGGACCCTTAAGAGGAGGGGGAGGGGCAGGCCTGGGTGATTCCTGGTCCAGTCCTCCTCACAGCAGCCCTGCCAGTCCTCCGACCTGGAGGGATGGGGTCTCTTGGACCCTTTTGGCCACCGGGAGTGCGGGGTGTGTCTGGACAGCGGGGAAGCGTTTGTGAGATGGTGCCAGTGGGCCTGGCTCCTCCTAACAGGGTCCCACGTCACCTCCACTTGCTGTTCTGGCCACAAAGGCAGCTTTGGCCAGGGGCCAGGGAGAGACTTTGAATGCATAAGCTAATAATGGATGCCGCCCAGGTGTTTGTCCAAACAGGTCTGCCACTAGGCAGGCCAGACTAGGCCACCACAAGGCACCATTGTTGCTGGGAAGGTGACTGAGAGCCGTGTTTTCTCGGGCGAGCCATGGAGGAGGCCAGCCACCTGTCCGATTTCCAGGCACTTCCTACTGGGCGCTATTTGGCCCAGACACGGTGGGCACAGTCCATAGGGCATGCAGGTGTCCGCCCCACCCTGCTCTTGGAACTGAGCTGCCCAATCCTGGTCCTCCCACCTGGGCCAGTGCAGGGCTCCCCAGCTGGCACCGACACCTCACGATGCCCACACTGGTTGTTAGTGAGAACAGAGCCTTTGCCCAGCTGTGGCCCTCACCATTATGTGCCAGGCAATATGCCACATGGCTCAGCTCCAGCGGCAGCGCCCTTGTAGCTTATGCCCATAGAAGGTTGTCAGCAGTGTCCAGTCTTCACTGCCTCTGGACCTCACGACTCTGCCCAGTGATGGACCTCACAGCCTCACAGGTGGGGAAACTGAGGCACAGAGAGGTGAGGGAACTCACCCAAGGTCACAAAACTGGTACACAGGGTCAGGATTCCACCCTGGTTCTGACCCAGGTCTGAATCTTGTTCCGCATCAGAGACAGGCTGGCAGGGCTCCCCTGCCAGGGTCCCAGGGATCTGACCCTCCCCTGTAGCCCGGCCGAAGGCAGGCCAGGCCCATGGAGACACCCAGCCAGTGTCTCGGGATTCTGAGAGTCTTTCCCCATCAGTGCGGGTTATCCAAAACGTGCCGGGCCCTCTCTTTGCAAAGCAGTGAGGGGGGTGCCAGGACTGGGCCGGCCTCAGGCTGGCATGCCTGGGGAGAGGGTCCACGCTTCCACCAAATTCCGATTGAGCCACTGCGGCTCTGGGTCTGCTGCTGTCAGAACCAATCACCTCTGCCAGGTGGGCTCTCGAGCTCCCATGCCCAGAGACTGCCCTCAAAGGCCCTGGGAGAGCCCAGTGTCATTTCAATGGCGGACCCATGAGGCCACTGCTGTGAGTCCCAGCCTAAACTCAGTCCACTTCCCACAGCCTCCAAGAAGCTGTCCTGAGGAAGACGGAACCCCCAAGGGCGCCCCTGACAGCAGTTGCAGGGCTCAGGAGCCCAAGATCCCAAGGACGACGGTCCGCACCCAGCAACAGCAGCGGGAGGGACCCTATGGTGCTCTGCCCACCGAGGCCAGGGCAGCCCACACCACCAGCCCAGCCCAGCTCAGGGGGAAGGAGCTTGAGTCCTGGCCGCGGCCAGAGGGGCTGGGAAGGCCGAGAGGGGTCTATAGCTGGTGTTTGGAACCCTTCTTCTCCATCCATCTTGATGACTGGCTGCACCTCCCATCCCACCTTCTCCCCAGCACCTTCTCCCTTGAGGAGAACAGGAGTTCAGAAGCACAGGAGGCAGGGATCCTCAGGCCCTAGCCCAGCCCCACCCCTGCAGCACACAGACAGTCCTTACCGGGCAGCACCCACCATCCCTCCGTTACCCCCACCCCACCCCACCCCCGCCCCTTTCCTGACTCCACTGGCATCCCAGACTCCAAGGGCCCTGCACTCCCGGCCACCCTTCCCTGAGGGCCAGCAGAGCTGCACACATCGGTCTCCGGCGCCCCCTCGTGGAATCCTGCATACAGACGCTGGGCATTGAGGGCCCAGTCAGTCCAAGGGCTCAGGGAGGCTGAAAGGCTCGGCGAGGAGCCTTCGCAGATAGGGTCCTCAGGGTGCTGGGAGAACACAGGTGCAAAGAAAGATGGCCTGCCAAAACCGGTTTGGCTCAGCGGCAGAGCGTCGGTCTGTGGATTGAAAGGTCCCAGGTTCGATTCTGGTCAAGGGCATGTACATTGGTTGTGGGCACATCCCCGGTGAGGGGTGCGCAGGAGGCAGCTGGTCGATGTTTCTCTCTCATCGATGTTTCTAGCTCTCTATCTCTCTCCCTTCCTCTCTGTAAAAAATCAATAAAATATATTAAAAAAAAAAAAAGAAAGAAAGGAAGGAAGGAAGGAAGGAAGGAAGGAAGGAAGGAAGGAAGGAAGGAAGGAAGAAAGAAAAAAGATGGCCTATGTGGCTAACAGGGTCAGGGCAGCCTGGCCAACACCTGCCTGGGCAAGTGACTTAAGAGGCTCTTGAATGCATTCAGGGCCAAAGACGTCACTCCCACGGGAGAGCAGGATGAAAACCAGCAAACATTAAGGGACAGGGCACTCTCTGGGCATGGCCAGGGAACAGAGCAGAGGCTGTGCACAGCCCTCCTCACTGACACCTGAGTCCCTGGCCCTACCCCTGCTGCTGACTGCTCAGCCCTCTGCATGGCCACAGCCCCAGTATTCCACCTCAGCATTCAGGCTACTCTGCCCCAGCCAGGCGTCATCTCTTCAAGAGGGTGTGCCTCAGAGGCCTCGAGGAAAGGAGCTTAAACAGGTTCTTGGGTTCACCCAGGCCCACTGGGTCAGGATTTAAGAAGCTCCAAGGGGTTTCTGGCTGGTTTGGCTCAGTGGATAGAGCATTGGCCTGCAGACTGAAGGGTTCTAGGTCCAATTCCGACCAGGGTACATGCCTGGGTTGCAGGCTTGGTCCTTAGTGTGGGGCGTATTAGGAGGTGGCCGATTGATGATTCTCCATCATCAGTGATGTTTCTATATTTTCCTTTCTCTCTCTGAAATCAATAAAAATAGTCAATTAAAGAAGAAGAAGCTCCAAGGGGCACTCCCTGCACATGAATTTGAGACGAAGGCGGGACAGGGGCAATGGCTGGGCCTGATGAGGCCGTGGGCACACACCTGACTGACAGGGCGCTGCTCCCACCGTGCTCTGAGAGGCCAGAAAACAAATTCCCAAAAGAGAAGTTAGGGCTGTGGGTGCAGGTGCCCATGAAACCTCCCAGCTGTTAAAGATGGTTTTGATTTCCCCAAAATCAAATAAAACAACCTGTGGCTCAGGCCAGGATGGCTAGGTGGTTCAAGTGTCAGCCTGGGCACTGAAGGGTCTCGGGTTCAATTGCCATCAAGGTCACACACCTCAGTTACAGGCTAAATCTCCAGTGCTGGGTGAGGGAGGCAACCAATCAATGTGTCTCTCTCACATCACATCGATGTTTTTCTCTCTCTGTCTCTCCTCCTCCCTTCCACTCTCTAAAAATCAATGGAAAAAAAAATATCCTCTGGTAAGGATTAACAAAAACAAAAAAATACAAACCCACAACAACAAAAAACCCAGAGCCTGTGTAATCCTTTCACGTCCAACTTGCCAGCCTGGGTGGTGAAGCCTCATGGGCAATGTGGAAGGGCAGAGGGAACGGAGAGGACAGGCTGGGCAGTGGGTGAGCCTGCCTGTGCGGGCAAATGAGGTCACTAGGTGGGCTATGCCAAGATGAATGGTGGGTAAAGGAGCCTGAGGGGAGCGGGCCATGCAGCGAGGCTTTGGTTGATAATGCTGATGACTCCTCATGTCCTCAAAACCAGAAACTTGCTGACCCGTTTCCTTGGTGCAGGTTGATGCCTGCCTCCTCCTATTGAGACAGGAGCTGCAGAGGCCAGGGTCGTGTGAGGCAATGGGCAGCACACCAAATCATTCACTGGGCTATAAAACCAAACCGCAAATGCCCAGCTTCCAGCACATGACATCCGGGGCCAGCTTTAACCTGACAATACCTGGAGTTGAAATCACTGTCCTCACTCTACGGATAAGTAAGCCCACAAGGGGAAAGCTGGGGCCCCAGAAGGCAGCACGTGAGCAGGAAGCCATCGGCTCTGAAGTCAGGGGAACCGGGTACAGAAAACTGAAGCCTAGGTCACTGCTGCTGAGGGAAGTGCGGGATTGTCCCAACCTGCCTGTCATCCCACGCTTCTCCACTCAGACCCTCCGTCTCTTCTTCAGCCAACAAGGGAGGCCAGGTGGCACCACCGGCCATCCGGGCCATAACGGGAGCCTTGGAGCTCCTAGAAGTAACAAAGAGGCGTCAGTTTGCAAACCCAAGGGCCTCCAGCACGGCAGGTGGCACAGCTTCAGCCCCTGCACCAGCACACACCCAAGAGGAAGTGCACTGGAGCCTAAAGACCCAGGCTGGATGGAGACTGACCACAAACGCCGCAACCCAGCAAGAGCCCAGCTTCCGAGGCGGGGACTGGAACCCCGGCCTGTCGCCGCGGCCGCCGGGACCGCTCCACCCGGGTCAGACCGGCGAGAGCGCAGGCGAGCGGCGGCCCTCAGGCTATGGGACCCCTTCCGAGACCCGCGGGAGCCGCCCCCGGGCCCCGCGCTGACCAATGGGCGGGGGCGACGGCGATCATTTGCATGAGGGCGCGTCGTAGCCAATGGGCGGCGAGCGCGGGCGCGTGCGCACGGGCGGCAGAGGCAGTGGGCGGCCCGCGGGCTCAGTCGGAGGATGGCCGCGGCCGCGGCGGGAGGAGCCCCCGGCCCGGGCCCCGCCGCCAGGGCCCCGCCGCCGGCGATGCGGAGGCGCGGGGACTTGCGGCGCCGCCAGGCCGCGCTCTTCTTCCTCAACAACATCTCCCTGGACGGGCGGCCCCCGAGCCTGGGCCAGGTCGGCGAGACTCTCCCGCCGCCAGCGCCGCCCGCCGAGGTCCGCGAGCCGCCCGCGCCGCCGCCGCCGCCTCCCGGGCCCGAGCCCGCGCCGCCCGGCCCTCCCGGCAGCGCGGTCCGGGCGGCGGCGCCCCAGGGCCTGCTCAGCCCCGCGCCCGCGCCAGCCGGCCTCGGCCTGGACGCGCCGCGCCCGCGGTGAGTGGGTGGAGGTGAGCGGGGCGGGCGGCGGTGCCCGGGCCGTGAGCCCGGTGGGACAGGCCGTCTGCACGGGCCGTGGGTCCCGGCCGCGGGGACACAGGTGGGTGGTCGGTCGGCCAGGACGTGGGGAGCAGGAAGTGACCCTGGCCCCCTATGAGCCCAGTCGCAGGGGTGGCATGTCCTGGGCCCCGTGGCCTAAGATGTCAGGGCCGGGTCATCGGTGCGCTGCCAACCGAGACATGATGTGGGTTTCCTCGGACCCTTTCAGTCCCCAGACATAGGCGGCATGGTCCCCATCAACCTGCCAGCGCCAAAATATGGGGTCATGGTGCCCTCAGCCTTGTCAGTGCCCTGAGCATGAGCTTCGGGGCTCCAGAGGCCGGCCTGTCAGCTCTTGACACGCCCCCTCCCAGCCCACTAGCGTGTCCCCTGGACAGAGGCTCCCGGCCGCCCTCGTCGTCCCCTGCACCCGACCCCGTGGGCCAGGGGCTTCCCTGCATTGTGCCATCCAGCCTCAGTCTCTGCGCCAGGCCAGGCGCCACCCTGCGCCCTGCCCCTGCCCCCACGTCCTCCGGAGCCTGTGGCGCCCAGGTGGCAGTTACTCCTCCGCCCTGATTCCAGCTCCAGGAATCCTCAGCCCATCTTAGAGCAGCCCTACCCCTGCTCAGCCCCCCAGTCTGCCCCTGACCACAGCCCTGGTTGCCAGAGGCCTCTTCCTCCTCCAGAAGCAGAGCCTCAGGGTCCAGAGACCCTGCCTCCTTGGCCCCTACCTCCGACCCTGAGGTGACCTCCACTCCCTGCCCTCACCCTAAGGAGTGATAGGCTCCTGGGCTGGGCACCTGGACTGCCTGCTCATCACAGTCCTTCTGCTGCCAGACAGGTGGCACCCTCAGGCTGGCCCTGAAGGTGTGCAGGAGGGGCTGAGTGCAGAGCCCCCCAGGGTCTCCGCCGTCCCCTGGAGTTCAGAGGTGACCCTTCTTACCTGAGGTTAGCATGGCTGCACAGGTGTGGTCACCTCCAGCCCCTGGCCCTCGGGCAGGTCCGGGCGATCGGGTTCTTTTGGTTGGGAGGGCTGCGCCCAGAGTGCTTTACAAGCGCAGTTTGCTCTTCTCTCTGGTGTGAGTGCTGGGCAGCCGTGTGTGGTTTAAGCGTCAGTTCAGCAAACAGTTGGGGCCCCAGTCCTGGGCCAGACCCTGTGAGCAGTCAGCAGCCTCCATGGACCCAGAGTGGCGGGAGGGGTCCCTTGCCGTTCTGAAGAGAGCGTGTGGAGGGCCCAGGCTTGGGAAGACTGGGAGGTGGGAGGTGGTTAGAATCGGAGTCCCGGGGCCTTCCGCTGCACCACCACAATCCCGGGTCCCTCCGCCCCTGGCCTCTCCCTCCTACTTAACCTTCAAGTCCTGTTCAGATGTCCCTCCTGCCCCCAGGGCTGCTCCTGCCCCAGCAGGTGTCCCTCCTCAGGCTCTGCTGCCAAGCTCAGGGCCCTGCCCTCATGTCTGGGATCACCTCGCTCCCTGACAGAAGGCTGGCCCCAGGATCAGAGTGTCCACTTCTCTTTGCTTCCCGGGCCTCAGCAGAGTTGCTGCTGAGTATGGGAGGGTGGCCAGCCTAGCAAAGATGGCTGCAAGCCACTGGCTTTAGACTGTTTTTTTCTAGGAGTGGCGAGAATTGTGAGTTGTCTTCCCCAAATCTGTGTTGTGACAGGTGGTTTGACCCAGGCTCTAGCAGACCTGATGGAATCCTAGCTTCACCATTCAGTGGCTCTGTGACCTTGAGCAGGTGGCACAGCTTCTCTGGGCCTCAGTCTGCTCCTCTATTAAATGGACTTGTGTTAAGCACTACCTCTCTGAGAGGCTGTTGTGAGGTTGGATGAGTGTCCAGGACTTTCGGTGCTTGTTTTCATTTCAGCAAGTAATACATCTGCACAGCAAGGTGCTCCGCCCCTCTCCCCTTCTCCCCTCCTTCCCGAGGGAGTGGGGCCGCCCCCCTGCACCCCCACTGGACAGCTTGCAGTATCCCAAGGGTTCCCTCTGCCCTCTAAGAGACCACAGATCAGCAGGGTGAGGCCAGGGCCTTGCTCCTTCCAGGGGTCCCGGGGAGGATCCGAATCATTGGCACTGGCACCTGTCAGGTGCCCGATATAGAAGGGCGGTCACTTCATTGGGGGGGAGCGTGTCACTGTTCTCAGATAGTCTGATCGCACATACAGTAGCCCCTTCCCAGAACCCCTCACTCGGCCTTGGGGGTCTTCAGACCTCAGACAAGAGCCCTTCCTCAGCTGGGCTTTCTACATTTAAAAGTATAGGAAGTTCATGGGCACTGCAAGCGCTAATGAGCAGTGATTTCTCTCCTGCCTGCGCGCCCTGCTGCTTTTAGAGAAGGAGCCCTGGAATCCAGCTCCCCGCGGGCGGGCGGGCGGGCGGGCGGGCGGCAGAGCAAGATCCCTGAGCGGGAGGGGGGAAGCTGCACCTCCCAGCTCTGTCCCTCCGTCCCCCACTGTAAATGGAGGGGAATAATACCGCCCACTGAGACTACTACTCCCTCCCTTGAAACACAAGAAGAGAAGGTAGAAGAAAGTCGCCGACGAAGGTCAGTGACACCCGCTGGGAACAGGTTTTCAGAGTGGTGACATGGATGTAACCGGAGTCAGCGGGAGGAGCGAGCTGGGCCAGATGCCAGGCGGGCTGGGGAGTGTGGGTGCTGTCATGCTCCAGGGCATCTGCCAGCGCCTCCCAGGGACTGCCGCTGGCCGGGCTCTGCACATGAGGTCCCAGGTGTGCGGGAGCCATTGGCACCTCCTGGGAAACCTGCGGAAATGAGCCTGAGAAAGTCCCAGTGGCTGCAGAGGCCCCCTGCACTCCTTCCCTCGGCACCCGCCCCGCCCGCCGGCCTGGCTGGACCCATCCTGCATGTCCTGGTCTGGATTCTGAGCCGGTGGCGTCTTCTTTACAGAAGGCGAGTTGCCTCCCAGCGCTGCTCCCTCGAGTTCCTGGAAGACACCGTGGGATGTCCCTCCGTTCAAAGGTAAAGATCCCACCTGCTGCATGGGAGCCCTGAGGCCCTGGGGCCAGAGAGATCTGGAGGGTGAGTGACCTGTTTCTCTCCTGCAGAACCAAGCACATGCCCGGGTCCCCCAGGCACAAGGGCCTGAAGAAGACTCACTTCATCAAGAACATGCGACAGTATGACACCAAGAATAGCAGGTACCGGCCGTTGTGGGGCTGCCTCCCGTGTCCTCCGTCAAGCCTTGGGGGCCGGCTCTCGCCCTGGAGCCACAGCCATACATGTCCCTCTCCAGTATCCGGCCTCCCTCCCATTAACTGCGCTCCAAGCCCACTGCCTCTGCCCCGCAGGACCCGGGCACACCGGACTTAGTGGAGGTGCTGAGTGAAGGGACATTGGAGCAGGGAACATGTTGGGACACGTCCAGGATAGAGGGCTTGGTTTCATCTGAGAAGTATGGGAGGTCAGGAGGGCGGTGGACTAAACCTAAACACGGCTGCCCTGAGTCACTTCTGTGGCAGCAGGAGCCCTTCGGAGGCCTGGTGCCTGCAGACAGGGCCTCTCCTGTCGCCTGACCCTCGTGCACCACCCTTCCGGCCCTGAGACATCTGAGCTCATCACCCTGACCCAAGGATCCCCACACCGATCCCCCTCCCATGGGGGGTCACACTGCAGGTCCCACCTTCCCTGTAGTGGCCGTAGGTTGGGCAGACCTGATCCCTCAGCACGAGGAGCAGGCCCTGAGCCGGCCTGAGAGCCAGATGGGCCTCAGTGGGTACTGAGTGCCCAGTTACCCAGCCAGAAGAGGGGGGAGTCTCACTGTTCTCCTCCTGCTAGACTGGGGCTTGGCCGGGCAGAGCCATCCCAGAGGGGGAAAGGCTGTCCTTCCTGCCGTGTGCTCCATGCAGGGCACCTCAAGGGTCACTTTGGCTCGGGACATTGAGCGGATGCTTTTTGATACTTAGTCCCCCACCTTTCCAGGGGGGACCCGGGCACACACTTCCATCCCATGTTTCCTCCAAAGCCTGACCTCTCGAACTAGGGTCCTGACCTCCGGCCTCCACCCTGCCACCTGGGGCCAGGTGAGACCCTTCCTGTGCAGCGTGTTACATGTGGGGGACCCGTGAGAGCTGGCATGGCCAAACCCACTGACCCTGGCCGCTGGGCCTCTTGGCCTGAGAGTCACCAGAGTCTAGGCGGGAAGGAACTCTCCCCTCCTCAGGAAACACCTGCCACCTGTTCTGACCCAGCTCTCCCCGCAGGATTGTGCTGATCTGCGCCAAGCGGTCCCTGTGTGCAGCCTTCTCGGTCCTGCCCTATGGAGAAAGCCTGCGGGTCAGGTGAGTGGCCCGGAGGCACAGGCTGGGCTGGACCAGGCTCTTGGCAGCCTCACAGGTGGTCAGCAGATCAGCTCCTCCTGAATCTTCTCAGAAGCTCTGCCATCTCCTGGTTCTCCCGGAGGGGTGTGTCCGCACCTTACTTCAGTTTGAGTTACCTAAATGTCAGTGCTTGGGACATGCCTTCTCTGCGTGCATTCTTGTGACCAGTCCCAGCAGCTGTGTCCTGCGTGTAACCGAGGAAGGAGGAGATGGCCGTCAGGGTGGGAAGCACCCCTGAAGATCGGGCGTGGCCTAAGCTTCGGCACAGGACGCGGGGCATATAGTTGCCAACCGGTGTTTTAACGGGGTGGCTGGTTCTAGGGAAGGAGAGACTAGACAGTTCTTAGGACAGGTGAACTTCTCTGTGTACCCAGTGATGCTAGTTCTGCTGTTCTTCCGATGAGAACACGTGCCCGTGTGTCTGCAAGGTGAGGTTCTGATGCCCCCCGCTCAGGCAGAGGGACCCAGCCTCTCTCCGGTGCCCTGTATTGCAGTGACCTGAGGGTGGACAGCCAGAAGCAGAGGCATCCGTCCGGTGGCGTGTCTGTTTCTTCCGAGATGGTCTGTGAGCTGGAAGGTGTGGAGCTGGGAGCAGATGGAAAGGCAAGAGCTGATGCTGTGCGCACAGGCCGGCAGGCGCAGATCTCATGTTTATGGAGGAAAAGAGCACATGAAGTTGTGCTTCCCTTTGATTTTCTAAAATGCAATGGGCAGTGGGAGCAAGCCATAGCCCTATAAGATGGGCCTTGCCCTCAGCACTGGTGGTCGGAGGTCAAGGGCATCAGAGGCAGGGAGAAGGTTCCAAATAAGAGCTGGTGAGGTTGACATTCTGGAATGTTCTTGTTACTGAGAACACTAACATAGGCCTGAGCTGGGCCACAGAGGGGAGTGGGGGTAGGGGGCTTCCTGAAACAGCAAGCAGGAGCAGGACTGACCTGGATGTGCTTCCCTTCCCAGGTCGTATCTTACGCCAAGTTCCTGTACCCTACCAACGCCCTCGTCGCACAAAAGACAGACAACCACGGTCCACCGCCCCAGCCCCGGACCAGCATCCCCCGGGCTGTGCCAGCATCCAGATACAAACCTGCTGCTGCCAAGTCAGCGCCGATCAGCACGGAGCTAGGTACCCTAACCAGGCGCACGGGGGCAGGACAGGCAGCCATACCAGCCAGGCCAGTGACCCTGAGGGGCAGGAGAGCAGTGAGTCACATTTGAGCCCACAGCCCTCAGTTTAGACCAAGGCGGGCTTGGGGTGTGGGGTTGAGGTACAGCCTTTCAGAATGGAAGGGCCTCGCGGTGAAGTAGACCCAGCCAGGCCATGGAGAGAAGTTTTGTCCACAGAGGGTAGGGGGTCCATCCTCATCAGGATGTCCTTTCCTCCCACCCACGCCTGGACCCCTCCCAGACCCAGGACCACCGCTCCCCGTTCCTGGAGAACACCTGCAGCCCCCGCTGCTCCCAGGCACTACACAGGGTCTGCTGAGGCTCGGGCTGATGGGAACTGGGCACCAGAGCTTGGGGCTCGCAGTGGGTCAGGGCTGCCTTCTGCCTGCAGGGAATGATGCAGGGGATCCCCTGGAATACAATCCCAACCTGCTGGATGACCCGCAGTGGCCCTGTGGCAAGCACAAGCGAGTCCTCATCTTTGCATCTTACATGGTATGGCGAGCACCAGGCAGCACTGCCCCTCGGGTGGCGGGGGGGGGGGGGGGGGGGGTGCTGTGAGCAAGCGGCCCCAGCACTGGGGAGCCCAGCACCACCAGGACCCCAGCAGCACCCTGGGGAGGGGATATGCAGCAGGCCAGAGAGCAGTGCTGACCCCACCACCCTGGGGTTCAGCCCACGTGCTCCACAGCCTGGATTCGCCACTGTGCGCTCAGCTCCCCTGCCCTCTGTCCAGGCGTGTCATTCTCACAGACCTGGAGCCACTCTGAAGGCTCGGCGTGTTCACATCTGCAGGCCTGGCCGCGGGAAATTGCCTCAGTGGCCCGGTCCCACCCTGCTGCCCTCTGTGTTGCAGACCACGGTGATCGAATATGTGAAGCCCTCCGACCTCAAGAAGGACATGAATGAGACATTCCGAGAGAAGTTTCCACACGTCAGACTAACACTGAGCAAAATTAGGAGGTAGGGAGGGCCAAGGACATCTTCATTTTTTTAATGTTTTTATTGAATTTTTTAGAGGGAGAAAGAGAAACATCAATGAGAGAGAAGCATCGATTTTTGCCTCCTGCACACCTCACACTGGATATCAAGCCTACAACTCTGGCATGTGCCCTGACTGAACATTGAACTGGTGACCTCTTGGTTCCTGGGTGAACTGAGCCACACCAATCAAGTGGCCCAAAACTCACTTCTAATGTGTGTCATCCTATGAGGTCCTGTAGGCCTGTCTTCCCATTTCCCGTTGATTCCTGAGCCTGAAGGTCCAGATGCCCCCTCCCACCCTCTGACCAGGCTAGTAACACACAAAGCATATGTACATACACATGCACACGCATACACATGCACACCTCTGCTGGTCAGGCTGCCTGTTTACTTTTTGCAGCTGCCCCCCCCCCCACTCAGCCCTCCTCACTGGTGCCTACGACACCCCCATGAGGGGGGCACCACCATTGTCCCTGTTCAGTAGAGGAACTTGCAGGCCAAGGCAGCCTGCCTATAGCCTCACAGTGAACAAGTGCTGGAGCTGCTGGCCGAGGCAGATCTCCTGGGCACTGCCCCCTTCTGGGGTCCTGCGCTGCCAAATCTTACTAACACCCCACCTCAGCAGCTCCAGGGCTTCTAGGATGCTCTTGCACCACAGGGGAGTAGGGACTTTGTCCTCTGTGGCAGCCCCTGGAGGATATTGTGGGACACCTGGTACAGGGGTGGGGGGTGTAGGACTCAGCCAAGGGGCAAGTGGGGCCCAAGACCAGCACGCTGCTTACCCAGCAAGCTGTGGGCCCTGATGCCAGGCTGTGCCCGCCTGGAAGGAACAGAGCTGTGCTAACGGCCCTGTATCATGGAGGGGGTGGTGGTCCTCCACCCCAAGAGCACCTGATTTCCCTCTAACCCTGCAGTTTAAAACGCGAGATGCGGAACATATCTGAGGAGTGCAACCTGGAGCCTGTGTCTGTGGCCATGGCCTACGTGTACTTCGAGAAGCTTGTCCTACAAGGCAAGCTCAACAAACAGAACCGCAAGCTGTGCGCTGGCGCCTGTGTGCTGCTTGCTGCCAAGATCAGCAGCGACCTCCGCAAGAACGAAGTAAAACAGCTCATAGATGTGAGTGCGCTCAACCCTTCCCCCGGCCCCACGGCCCCACTGCCCCTCCCAGCCCCGCCCCAGCCACCACCCCATCCCAAGCTAGTGCTGCCCCATCCAGGCCTCACCCCAGCCAGCCCTTGGCTGGGCCCTACCCCTAGAGAGGGTGGTCATTGCCCACTAACCTGGAGTGAGGCCAGCCACCACTCCCAAACCTGCTGACTTGGGAACCAGAGCAAGGGACCCCGGCTTAACCCTTCTCTCTTCTTCCATGCAGAAGTTAGAAGAAAGGTTCCGGTTCAACAGACGGGATCTAATTGGGTTTGAGTTCACAGTGCTTGTGGCCTTGGAACTTGCTCTTTATCTTCCTGAGAGCCAGGTGTTACCTCATCACAGACGCCTCACACAGCAGTTCTAGTCTGCCGCCCGGACAGCCCATGCCACTCCGCACACCGTTTGTGGGCCCCACGAGCTGTTCCCAGGCAGTGAAGTGCAGCCCTGGCCCCCATGGCCTCACCCTCCCAGCTCGGGCGCGTGGGCCCTGCCTTCGCACGCTTTCTTCCTTGGGGGGCTATGCTTTCATTCCAAAGCACAGCACATCACCGTGGTGTTTGAGAATATTCTGAATGTGGGGTTTGTCGTTTTCCTTTTTTCACATGCCTGACACTGGCCTGGCACTAGGACCCTCGATTTATGCCTTGGATCCCGATGTCGTGGCATCTTTCTGCTTTGCGCTGCCTCGCCTTCCACATACCATTGTGGCCACTGGCGCATGGCAGTGGTGACTGTTCCACATGCTGCTGAGTGGATTCAAGTCCCTGGAGTTAATGCAGTGAAGCATTAACCTCAACTTTCCAATTTTTGGATGTGGAACACACCCTGCCCAGCCTGCTGTCCATTCCCCTCCCATCACAAGCAGAGCAAAGGGCAGACTCCAGGCTTGATCAGTTTGTTCTTGGACCGCTCATCTCCCAAGCATCATGTCACTGTGAAGTCCTTGTACCTAAGTGTTATGCCAGCAGGCCGCTGCAAACACAAGTTGCCCCTTCATCTCACCCAGAAACCCCACTGGCCTGTGACACTCTGGATCTTCAGATGATTGCGTTGCTGGAGTGTGGCTCTTGATCTTCTTAAGCAATATTATGACAGGACAGCCTATGTCTTTTGGGATTCTGTTCTGTAGGTTTCTCATAAGGGAACACAAATTAGTTAAATGTGTGAAGCTGTGAGTTGAAACCACACTTGCTCAAGCTGGGAGGGGACGGACTACTTTATAGCCCACAGCACTGCCTCCCCAAGAGGTGGGCTCAGTGCCCTCTTCTCCCAAGGCTGTCTGGGCACTGTCACACTCAGACCACCCTGCCGGTGATCCTCACTCCTACAAAGGCCCGGGCTCTGCTTTTCCAGGTTTGTTGTCCTTTGCACGAATTCTGCGGTCCAGTTCTCCAGCTCACTGCCCCACCAAAAACACTGACTGTTGAGTCAACTGGCCTGAAAGATGGCCATGGATCATCAAGCTGCTTTCCTATTGTGCTAGACCCGTTACTGGAGGGGCCCTGGGGCAGCCCCCATCTTGTACTCTCTTCACACAGGCTGGTGTTTTTGCAGAACAACCAGTTCTGCTCATCACAGCACCCAACCACCAGCAACTCGGCCCAGACCCCATAAGAGGTGCAGGCCAACTACTCATCTACTTATTGCCTGCAAGCCTGTTCCTTCCACTCAGAGTAAGACTGCAGTGCGCCTCTCCCTCCAAGGTGGCTCCCTAAACCCAACCTGCATCCAAGGTAGATGGTGTAAGGTGCTAGGCCCAGCAACTTATGGAAAGCATCCCATCTTGCCACCATATATCTCAAGGACACTTCCGTGTTACAAGCACTGTAAGGGACTTTCTCAAAATATATGTCTCGGTTTACAGCTTAGCCTCGAAGGATCTGTCTCTGGGAATTTATACAGACGTCAGACCAGCTGAAAAATATGGTCATTACGTTTGCACATTTATGTAGTAAGATTTAGTAATTTGCCAGTCTCATCTGTAACCTTCCCAGCTGTGTGTCCTTTACAGAAATGATGGAGCTGCCACTGTGTGGTGCTCGAGAATCCCTGCAGAAAAGCCAGAACTTAAGCCAAACCTCAGACTGCATCCCCAGCCTCTAGAACAAACCCCAGCCTGAGGGTGTCCAGGGCCCAGCTCTACTCCCTCAGAACCCAGTAGCAGTTGTGGACTTGAAATGTGTGTTAAGTGACTATCTGACCTCAATGTCAAGTTGTGTCATAAGTGTTTGTATTTGTGCTTTAAGTAAAGTTTGGTTTTGCAGCATATAAGTGGCCTCCTTTTAGTGAGCTGACCCCTCCTCGCCCACTCACAGCAGGATGTCAGCCTGACCCCTCCCCCAGCACAGAATGAACCAACGTGAGGGATGTTTCCACTATTTATTTATGACAAATTAAACATCTGTGATGCTCTTCAGTCAGAAGTTCCTAAACAAAAGGAAAACAACATTAAAGCCTCATCTCCGGGAAGTCCCAGCCTGTCCCCAAACTCGACTTTGAGACAGCTTACTTTGAGACGATGCCATCTGCCTTGGCCAGTCGGAGAATGGAGTCATCTGACTCACCCTGAGAAAAAGCACATTGGAACTATGAACAATGTCCCCTGCTACCCTGAGCTGGCAGGTCCACCAGGTACCACCCAGTCTAACCCCAGTCTCAGCACTCAGACCTCACTAGACAGAAAAAGGCCTTGGAGATGGGAGTAATACCAAGGTAAAAGGGTGGCCCAGCTTAGGGCCTTTGAGCATCCTTTTCACGCCTCACCCCCCCCCCCCCCCCCAGGGACAGGCAGGCAACCAGTGCAACCCAGTTCCATAGGCTCAAACGTATTCTGCAACAAATAGTCAGACCTGAGAAACAGTGCAAGACACATTCTCCATTACCCCCCAAAAGCCCACAGATGAGCCATGTCCAGGACACTCACCATCCTCCGGATAGCCCCGCAGATAGCATAGGTTTTAAACTGGCCGTTGAACCTGCCTGTCACCTTGTCAACCTGTTGGAGAATGAGGATCAGACGGGCACTCGAGCTCCTTTACCGGGGTCTGGGGATCATCAACCTCGGGGCCGGCCCAGCGCCACGGGCTCACGCCGACCCCGCTCTAGTCTGGGATGGACCTCATCCAAGCCCTGGCGCCCAGGCTCACCTCGGCCACGTTCATCTGGATGGACGCGTGGTCCTTGGCGCCGATGATGCGGTTGCTGGCGGAGCTGCGGGAAGAGCGTAGTGAATGGGAAGTCACAAGTGTTCGTATTTGTGCTTTAAAGTAAAATTAAGTGCTGTGGCGCTCACCATTTCCGCGGCACGTACAGGTCCACGAACTCGCCGGCGTCGTTCTGCATGTTGAGAGTTCGCCTACGAGACCCCGCGCGGTGCCGTGAGGACAAGCCGGGTCGGTGCGCCCGGACCCCGCGCCGTGGCCTCACGCCTCACCCCGCTCCCCGCTCCCCGCGCCGCGGCCTCACCTCAAACCCCGCGCGCCCGGACCCCAACCTCCGCGCCTGGCCTCCCGCCGCCCCAGCCCGGAATTCCGGCGCGGAATCAGGCAGTGGGCCACGCGGCCTACCTGCTGCCACCACCACGAGCGCGTCGGCAGAAAGAGCGCGTGAGGTACCCCGGCAGCACTACGACGGGCGGGGCGGGGCCAGGGGCGGGGCCTCGGCGAGTGTTTCCGGGTCCCGGCGCGCCCGCGAGTCTGCGCAGAGCCTGGCCGGCCCCCACTGGCGCACTTCCGTTTGGGGCGGGGGGCGGGGCCTCGGGCTTCGGGCGGCGAGTGGGTGGCGGGGCTGGGCGGCCCTGAGGGGCCGGCGGGCCGCGGTGTCGCCACGCCTGGCGGGCAGGAGACCCGTGCGTCGGCGAGGACGGCGCGCGGTGCTAACGGGCGGCCCGGGGGTGTCCATCGGCTGCCAGAACGGACCCCGCGGAAACAGCCGAGTGAGAACCCTCCTGAGGTGTCCTGGGTGACGAGACCAATCGTGGACGGGGACGGCGCAGCGCGGCTGGTGCCGGGGCCTCCGCGGGCGGGACGCAGTCCTGGGGCCTAGAGCCCAACTCCTCGGAGAAGGAGAACGAGGCCCACAGCCCTTGCCTGCACCACCCGACCGCTCCCCGGACCGCCTCCCCCGCCCACCGGCCCTCCAGGCCTGGTGCCGAGACCTATTAATAGAGAAAATAGAAAAATCCAAAACTGCACACGTGTGCGGGGCAGCCAGCTAAAACATGGACTCGGGTGAAGCAAGACCCCTTCAGGGCGGGCTTGTGACGCGGGCCCCCACACAAACACACATAGGGCCGCCTCGGCTGAGCCAGGAAATGCCTCTCATCCGCCAGGTCAGCCCCCACATCGGCGCTCTGGTCCGGTTCGGGCTCACCCTGGGCTGCTTGCGCCTGTGGGGTGATGTGTGAACGATGCTGGTCAGCCTGGCCTCTGTGCCCTGTGAGTGGCTGCCAGCTTTCCAGCTCCGGGGGGATTTAGCGTGTGGAAACCAGTGTTTGTGTAGGCAGTGTGTCTGCTGTTGCTTCCACGGGGCTCCCAATAGCGGGCAGCAGGATGAGTTCTGAGCGGGTCTCATGTAGACCCCGAGAGGTGAGTGCTGTGCACCTGGGCATGTGCGCAGACATAATGACACATGGTTTATGTGTGTGGTTGGGGGTTGCACATCTGATCTGGCCTGCTGCCTGTGTCTGTGGGTGGGCCCTGCTGGCTCTGTAGCTGGAAGGCAGGAGACAGGCAGCTTGAGTACCAGAGTGGCAGAGAGGTCTGCAGAAGGTCTCCCTTGAGTATTCAGCAGAATAGAGAGCCCAGAAAGCCCGCATATATACAGTCAAATAATTTTTGTCAAGGGTGTCAATGCACGGTGTTGGGAAACCTGGCCATCCACATGCAGGAGGAAACTGACCCTTACCTCACACCATACATAAAGTGAACTTAAATGGATTAAAGACCTAAATGTAAGACCTTAATCTCTTATAAGAAAACTAAGGCACAAACTTTATGACACTGACTTGGCAATGACTTAGGTAGGTCACCAAAGGCCCAAGCAGTAACAAGAAAAAGACATATTTGATGAAATTTTTTAAATTTGTGCATCAAAACTATCATCAGAGTAAAAAGGCAACCCACAGAATGAGATAAAATATTGGCACACATTTGATAAGGGATTAGTAAGCAGAATATATAGAGAAGTCCTAAAACTAAACAAAAAAAAATGATTAAAAAATGGGCAAAGGGCTTGAATAGGCATTTCACAAGAGAGAAATTGACCAATGAGTACACTTAAAGATGCTAAATACCACTAACCATCAAGTCATATTTTACACCACCTCACACTTGTTAAAGTGGATGCTACAGCCCCAGCTCAGTAGTTGGCAAACCTCGGCTCGCGAGCCACAGGCGGCTCTTTGGCCCTTGAGTGTGGTTCTTCCACACAATACCACATGCGGGCGTGCATGTACAGTACAATTGAAACTTTTTGGCCCATGCGCAGAAGTCGGTTTTCTGCCTGGGCAAGTCTATTTTGAAGAAGTGGCGTTAGAAGTGGGTGTCGGTTGCATGTGGCTCAGGAACCGCGATTGCCGGCCACTGCCTCGGTTTGGCTCAGTAGATGAAGCATTGGCCTACAAACAGTTTCCCAGGTTTGATTCCAGTCAAGGGCACATGCCCAGGTTGTGGGCTCAATTCCCAGTGGGGAACTTGCAGGAGGCAGCTGATCCATGATTCTCATCATGGATGTTTCTATCTCCCTTCCTCTCAAATAAATAAATAAATAAATAATTTATATATATATATATATATATATATATATATATATATATATATATATATATATATATTTTTTTTTTTTTTTTTTTTTTTAAGAATGGATACTGCTGAAATCAGTTTTGCTCAGTGGCTAGAGCGTCAACCTGCAGACTGAAAGGCCCCAAGTTCAATTCTGGTCAAGGGCATGTATCTTGGTTGAGTGTACATCCTCAGTAGGGGGTGTGCAAGAGGCAGCTGATTGATGTTTCTCTCTCTGTCCCTCTCTGTAAAAAAAAAAAAAAAATCAGTAAAATATATTTAAAAATAAAATAAAATAAAAAAGAATGGATACTATAAATAATATAAGCCCTGTCTGTGTGGCTCAGTGGTCAGAGCATCAGCTCAGTACAGAGGATCACAGGTTTGATTCCTTGTGAAAGGCATGTACCTCAGTTGCAGGTTCAATCCTGGCCCAGTCAGGGTGCATGTGGGAGGCACTCATTTGATGTGTCTCTCTCACATTGATGTTTCTCTCCCTCCATATCTCCTTTCCTTCCACACTGAAAATAGTGGAACATATATCCTCAAGTATGAATAACAAAATAAAAAAACGGAAGTAGCCCAGCTGGCATGGCTCAGTGGTTGAGTGTTGACCTATGAACCAGGAGGCCACAATTCAATTCCTGGTCAGGACATATGCCTGGGTTGCAGGCTGATAAATGATTCTCATCATTGATGTTTCTATCTCCCTCTTCCTTCCTCCCTAAAGTCAATAAAAATATATTTTTTTTAAAAACACACAGGAAGTGTTAGGATGTGGAGAAATCAGAACCCTGGTATATTGGTTAGAATAAAATGGTGCAGCTGAAAAAAAACATGGAGATTCCTTTAAAAAGACAGAATTACCATATGATCGGGCTATTCTGTGTCTGAGTATGCGCCTAAAATATCAATAATAATTGAAAGCAAGGACGTGAACAGATATTTGGTACACTCACGTTCACAGCAGCATTATTCACAGTAGCTAAAATATGGAAGCCGACCAAGTGCCCATCAACAGATGACTGGATAAACAAAATGTGATAAGTACTTAAAGTTGAATGTTTTCAGCATAAAAAAGAAAGAGAATTGTGACACATGCATATGGATTGACCTTGACATGCCGAATGGAATAAGTCAGCCACAAAAAAGACAAATGCTGCTAATTCCAAAGATATGAGGTGCTTAGAGTTGTCAGAATCAGATAGTAGAAGAATAGATTCCAGTGTCTGGGGAGGGAGAGTGAGTGTTTAATGGGGAGAGTTTCAGTTTTAAAGGATGAAAAAGTTCTGGAGATGGTGATGGTGGTAGTAGTACATTATTGGTGTATTTAACACCATTGAACTGTGCACTTACACATGGTTAAAATGTAAAATTTTATTATATAGTAGGGGCCCTGTGCATGAATTTGTGCACCTTGAAAGGAACTGTGGGCTGTGAGGCTGTGGTGGGCACAGCAGTGGCTCTTGGGCCATCCTCCACGCCCCCACCCAGCCTCTCCTGCAACGGCCCAGTCCCCTGTCTGCCGGCAGCCCTGCACCCCCCATCACTGCTCCCACATGCTGATAGCTCAGAACAATTGGGGCTGGCGCTGTCAGTGGTACGCAAATATCTGTTCACGTCCTTGCTTTCAAACATTTTAGGTGCATACTCAGACGCAAAATAGCTGAAGCCCTGAGAGCCCCTCAGGAGCAGGGGGAGGTGGAGAAGCCCTCAGGGGTGACTGGGGCCGGCAGTCACCACTCGCACCCTCTGACGGCACTGAGCAATTGGCACTGGGTACTGGCAGTGGGTGCAAGGGGGGCCAGCACCAGCAACAGGTGCAAGCTCCTGGCAGGACCGTGGCACGGGAGCAAGGAACTTTCAGTAACCACCAGAGGTTCACCCAGATGACAGCAAACAGCACCCTGCCTTGATCTGGTGCCCCCACTCACCTGCTTCACCATTTGCAGTGGCTGACGCCTACCATGTTCCACACGTACCCCTGGTGGTCAGCACATGTCATAGTGACCCGTTGTTCGGTTGTTCCACTGTTCGGTCTATTTGCATATTAGGGTTTTATATAAAGATTTTACCACATTAAAAAAAAAATTAAACTATAGGACACACACACAGGCATCATGATTTTCTCTCCCTGTAGCAGGGTCCCAAGGCCAAGTTCTTTGAAGGGAAACTGCTCCCCACCCTTGGGCCATGAAATCTAGAGGAACCCCTCTTTGAGAAACCCTGTTGTCCAAGGTTCAGATCTCACAAAATAGGAACAAGTGGTCCCTTGAAGGGGACAGGGAGGATCTCAGCATCAGGGCCTCTTGGCAACTATAGGGGGCAGGTGGGCAACAGACTGCCAGATATTGGTAGCTAGGGGATAATGTCCCCACATTCTGACCACATGGTCCCCAGCAGCCATTACCACCCATCCAAGAGCACACCTGGCCCTGCACTCAGCCCTGCTTCCTGCCTATCTCCCTGTTAGCTGAAGGGGGCTGAGTTCTAGGTCCCTAGCCCCTTGCTGATGGGGTGGGAAAGAACCAGAGGCCAGGCAGTACAAAGAGCATGGTGGGC